AAGAAGAAGAAAAAAAAAAAAAAAAAAAAAGAAGAAGAAATAATAATGCAATGCAATTGATCTAGTCATTTAGCAGTTCACATCAGGGAAAAGAGCGCTCATGGACAACATCACCTTCCCGCAAGGTCCTGCTGCTCCATTTAATCCAGTATTCACACCTGCAAGGTTACCAAAGCTGGCTACCATTTCTTCTTCACATTCATTCTCCTCTGCTTTCAACAGCTTACGTCCCACTCTGCAGCAGTTAGAAAAGAAGAACTGAAAACAGATGAACAACAAAGCAGACACAGAAAGCACTTGCCATTAGAAAGACATTGCAGTTTAATGTTTGCCTTGAATATATCATAAGCCTTGCAGGGTACCCAAGAGAAACAAGTGTGCTAAGCAGAGAAACAACTAGGCTTCAGAAAGCGGCATATGAAAAATGCAGTCACGGCCCAAGTAACACAACCAATATTTGTCAGTCTGTGCCACAGGTTGACATAAGGAACCTAAAGTTTCACTGCCCATGTATAATCAGCTCTGTCTGATGTCAGGGCTTGGGTTCTAGGTTAAGAATATTAAAGCAGGAAGCCATCGCCTCTTGTCAACACTTTCATGACCAATTGACAGCTTCAATAATCTGGAACAGGTTTTTGGAAACCCTTGGTTCCTTGGGGATTGGGTTGCTTTAAACCACTGAAAAAAATCTTATTATATATATAAATCCCACTGCGTTTTTTCCAAAAAAATCTTATAAATTCATACATAAATCTTATTTATAAATCTTCTAAAAGATCTTGTTTTATATACACCAAAAAAACTAAATATATAAATTATGTCATATATACATATATATATATATGCACAAATGCACATACACCAATTTTCAGCTGTATGTGAACAATTACACCTTCCTTGGCATTTATATGTTAACTTCTTGTGTAGTTAAATTGATTTTGGGGGTAATCATACCAACTCAAAGATTTTTTTTTTTTATTATTTTTTTTTTCAGAAAGAGGTGCCCGTAGCAAAGCCGAACTCCAGCAAATAGCATAAGAACAGCCCTACACTGGATACCCCAGCGCTGCCCTGCTTAGCGCACAGGATACACAAACAGCACGGTACCCTTTGGAGAAAACCTTGTTCCTAGAGCACAGCAGGAGCAAATACAAAACTAGGTCATTTACAATAAGTACTATAAAGCTGTATGCTTTGGCAATCCCATCCCATCTTTCAACAGACACAGAACCATTAGGAATTCCTCTGTCCCTACTCAGCACCAGTACCTAAATAGAAATGGCCCTAAGTAAAAACATCTGTAGATGCTCTGCTGGCTTCAAGACGCTTCAGCTCTTGCTTCCACAGCCCACTTTAAAAGTCCGGGGAGGGTCAGTCAGCTGTTCCAGCAATGCTCCAGCCACATTTGCAGGTGGAGCTGGGGCAGGTAGCAGAGCACAGAGACAGACATGGCAGCTCTCAGGAGGTGGAGGCTGAGCAGGCTGTTCGTGGCCAAGGGCCAGCCACATGCCACACTGGAGGTCAAGGGAGCTGCCTGCAATGTACTGAGAGGAGTCATATGAACCAAGGAGGATCCACTGCATCAGGTACAGTTGCAATTCAGGATTAGCTTGGGCATATACAACACAGGCAATCAGAGGACAGGCTCTCTTAGAGGTTGCCAAGCCATGTGTTCACTTAAGTCTTTAGCCACAAAAGAAAATGCTAAAATTTAGTGTTCATTAAAAAAAAAAAATCAAAACAGCATTTCCCTGGACTGCACTTCTAAAACATTCCTTCAGTATTTTCTGACTTGCTTTTGGAAAATTCAATTCCAGTATCTTCATTCCTTTTTCCTCCTTTGCATTCTAGGTGATAATGTGAGAAGCCTCCACATTTGTACAATTAACATGGTTCTTTATCAAGAAAACCATTTACAGAGACTCTGCAAATCACACTAAACATCCCTGTCTGTCTCCAAGTTCCTGGCACATTGCTGCAAATCAGTTTCTACTCAGACCTTCCCTACGTCTGTTTGTTTGTTTTAAGAAACATATATACACATTTACAGAAGTAAAATTACCCTGATACGCAGCTAAGCTGTTTTCCAAATTCCTCTGCCAGTAGAATTGCATCATGTAAATGCCCAGGCAATAGCTAAATCAGTTGAAAGGCCTGTGTAGACGCTAGTCCCAAAGACGTACGTGGGAATTTTGCCCAAGCCAGAACCAATGAGAACAAAGGACAAAATTTTAGTGTTAAGGACTGAATACAAGAAGCACAGGGTCAACCACCTTTGAGGTTTTATCCTTGAGCTGCAGTCAAGTCAACTTGGGTCCAGTTGTCCTAAATGGAAGTAACAAAAGATGTTTCTTGAATGTCTCTAGCTAATTTGTAGAGCTGAAACATCTGAGAAGTTAACTTCTCTCCTCAAGAAGAATGGTCTGTTTGGAACTTTGTACTTATTTAGTTTCTCATGATGGAAATTATTTCACTTAATTTGGTTAGAGCTGCATTGACACAAGGGTTCATTAGGACACCCATTTGCTTGCAATTCAATTTAAAATTAAATACACTTTGTTGTTGATTTTATTACTTTTAAACTACTGTATCTATTGCCTTTATTAGCTGCTAATACACAATTATGAAGGTAAACAGTTTTCATTACTGAACATCAAACATTTAAATAACCGCATTTGATCTCTTCTGGTTGCATCATTTTTCTCCTTTTCCTCGTTTTGCTGGGTATTAGATTCAAGAGAATAATTTATTCAGTGAAGTTGGGCCTCTTTTGTGCTCACCAGCATGCTCATCAGCTGTCACAGCAGATCATAGCTTCCTTGGCTGTATCCACAAGGGTTATTTATTTCCTCCATCCATTTCTTTACAGGTAATTTGATGTATGTATTTATCTGAAGGTCTCTTATAGCTTGATCACAAAAACATTGCTCCAATTCATATTTCCTTCACTCTCCATGGGTAATTCAGAGGCAGGGATGAAGGGCGCTGGGAGAAGCCATTTGGTCACCTTTTGAAGTGCACTGTGTGTAGCACTTAAAAATTACAGCCCAAGTTGGGTATCTGAAAATCGAAAACAGAGGCCTCTTTCACAAGCACAGGCTTAGTTTTTCTAGGCCTGAGGTCCTTTGTTTCGGAGAAGTTCTACTCATTAATATCTGTAAAGCACTGAAAGACCTTTGGAAGGAAAGCACATTAGATAGAAGTACAAAGTAGCCCTTATCTGACATACCTTTGAAAGAGTTCATGAATCCTGGCTCGCAACTTTTGTTTCTTGTGGTGAGAGACTTCCTTGTGGTGCTTTGAGTCCCACATGCCAAAAAAAAAAAAAAAAAAGAAATGAAAAAAAAACAAGAAATTTTTTTTTTCCGACTGTACAGAAAGAACATGGAAATAAAAGCCATAAACGTGCAATTTTCCAAAAGTTTGCCTTAGGTCTTCCAGTTGAAGTTTTTCAGAAGCAATTAGGAATTTCAGCCACCATTACTTTATTCCGTTATTTTTTCTATAACTTTTTTCCATATATTTTTCCATATGTTTACTCCATTCTTTCCAAGGGAAACTGAGCTCTAATCTCATTTTAAAAGCTTAGTGCTACAACATATATTGGTGCACGGTAGTGCCCTACAGCCCTTATTTTTACTACACCTAACACAGTCATATATATGCATACATATGTATGTGCACATATAAGTGGGTCTGTACACGCTCAACAAAACATAATATGCAAAACAGCTAGTCATAGACTACCAGAGAGCACACAACTTGCCCCACTTTAATTCTGCTCCAGATCTTGAGGCCTTGTATCACCACAGCTGTTTTTAAATGTTTGGTAAGAGGGACTCGCATTTTTGGGTGTTGCAGTGCGTAGGAGGCTAACTCGCATGAGCAGTCCTCTCCCCCTATGGTTCTGCAGCAATCCAGCACAGCAAGCTGAAAAAGTTAGTCCATCAAGAAGCCAGCATCCACACCTTTTTGGACTGCGTTCGCTGTGCAAAACCTGAGAACAATAACCCCTCTGAAGGCTGTAGACTCAGGAAAACAAAGTTCTTCTCCCTGACCTGCACTGTTCAGAGATGTTGCTGAATATTCAAGGGCATACCTCGTGCTTCCTACTGGTGTCCCTGAGATCATCATAAAGTGTGCATGCAACACTACCAATCTACAAGGAGGCTTCCTACTGTATACCATATACTGTCACCTAAAAAGTGTAAAATTACATTCCCCTTCCACTCCCACCAAGCCACAAAGCCAAACAATATTTTGGTAGGGAAACAATGTAATAGTCAATGGAGAAAAACTCCCCATTGGAGGCTCCATATCTGGCTGTTGAAGTCTCTCCTTTCTTCCAAATCTCTAAATTTTTCCACAAATATCTGGCTGTTTTCAAGGAAGCTTAGGAATCTCTACTGAAGACTAAGGCTTTGGGAAAATTATTTGCAAAGTATCCCACTTATTTCCAAAATGAAAAATAGAGTATAAAAACAGACTACAAAAACATATTACAAAAACCTGCATGAGTAGCTTTTAACATAACTTGTTTAAACCCTGTAAAATTAAAGCATGGTTGCCTTAAAATACAGTATGATTTGTTGGTAGTCCCAGCAGAGAGCTTCAGATAGATGCAATAAGTCCTCCAGGGCCTGGTCAACAATCACACATAAACAATTACAAAGGTGACATGACCAAACTAGCTCAAAGCGAGACCTTCCAGCTCTCCACACGGCAGCTGTATCATGAACAACACTCCCTCCACCACTGCTCCTCAGTTAGTGGGAACCAAGCCCTCCTGCTCCTGGACAGCTTTGGGCTGAAGTTCACCAGGAGTCCCTGGAGCAGGGACCAGGACTCATTTCTCTCCTGCTCCCACAAACACTGGCACTGATTTTCTTTCCCCAGCCCAGTGAATCACCACCTACACTGCTTCCCCAGGAAGGGCTGGGACCTGGCTCCAGTCCCAGCTCTGCTTCAGCAGAGCTGGCAGCTGTCTGGTTAGGGTGATCAGACCCCCCTCGTGCCACTTCCCACAGTCTGGTGAGGACTGCAGCCACCAGGGAATGTGCCAAGAGAAAGGGCAGGTTGTTCCTCCCCAGTTGTCCCCTGGGGATGTGCTCCTGGGGATGCTCCTGGGGATGTGGTGTAGGGGACTCATCCCAGCAGCAGCAAGGACTAAGCAGCAGCAGTCACCACCCCTGCGAGGTGCAGGAGCCAGTCTGCCAGGGCTGGGGCATTTGGGAGAGTGCCCAGCAGCAGAGCTCAAA